TCGCGGTCGCTGATGATCGCTGCTGGTATCCCGTGTAATCGAACGATGGTGGCGATGAAGAGGCGAGCTGCTTCTTCGGCTGTGATTGATTTCTTGCATGCTGCGAAGTGTGCCATTTTCGTCAGTCGATCGACGACGACCAAGATCGCGTCGTTCCCACTCGCCCCGGCCGGTAACCCCGTGACGAAGTCCATCGTCACCTGCTGCCAAGCACGCTCTGGGGGTGGTATCGGCTGCAACTGTCCCGCCGGCGCTGTCGTGATGATTTCATGAGCTGGCAAGTGGGACACGATGCCACGTGTCGTTGTACGTCGGTCAACATTTCGGGCCAGTAATAATACCGCTGCAGCTGCTGCCGTGTTTTCTCTACCCCGAAATGCCCCGAGGTAACTCCGTCGTGTGCCTCCTGTAACAGTAATTCTCGTAACAGTGTATACCCAGGCACCCAGATGCGGTCGGTCCCGGTTTTTACGTAATAGACACCCTTTGCTGCTGCGAACTGCTGCGAATTTCCTCCTGTAAAGAATGGATCCGTTTGGTACCCGTGGGTAAATAGGCCTGTCAGTAGTGGGCTTGTCTGGGCGAGTAGTATTGCGTGGATCTGGGCAGTGGGGCGGGTCAGTGCGTCGGCGATGTTCGAGGCTCCTTTTTTGTAAGTGACCGTGTAGTGAAAGTTGGACTCGAGAAAATCAAGCCAGCGAATCTGTCGTGGGTTGAGGTGTGGCTGTGCGCGGAGATACTGTAGTGATTTATGGTCTGTCCGTACTGTCACGTCTGCGCCGGTCAAGTAATAGCCCCACACTTTGAACGCGTGCACGATCGCAAGCATTTCGCGGTCGTGTATCGGGTAATTTTTTTCGGGCAGATGCAGTTTTCGTGACTCGTATGCGATGGGCTGTAGGCCGTTGCCGAAGTCGTGTAGCAGTACGGCTCCGATGGCGACGTCGCTTGCATCGGTAACTACTTCTAATGGGCGGTGTGGGTCGGCGATGCGTAGGACGGGCGGTGAACAGAGGACATTTTTCAGGGCAGAGAAGGCAGCATTGTCTTTCTCCCCCCACGTAAAAGCGACCCCCTTCCGTAACAAGTCTGTCAGCGGCGTAGTTAACCGGGCCATGTCGGGGACGAACCGACGCACGTAGTTTACGAACCCCAAAAAGCTCTGTAGTTCCGTGATATTTGTCGGGGGGTGCCAGGCTTTCACCGTGTCTAACTTCTTTGGGTCAATTTCGACCCCAGCCTCCGAAATAACGAGCCCCAAAAACTCCAACCGGTCCTGAAAAAACTCGCACTTGGAACCCTTTGTCAGTAGCCGATGCTCGTCTAAAATCTTAAACACTGCTTCCAGGTCTGCTAAGTGCTGCTGCTTGTCGCGACTGTAGACGAGGATGTCGTCGAGGTAAACTATCACGCATTTATCTAAAAGTGGCCTAAATGCTTCGTTCATGGTCATCTGAAATGTCGCTGGTGCGTTGGTCAGCCCGAAAGGCATCACGGTGTACTCAAATGACCCGTACCTAGTCCGGAAAGCGGTTTTGGCGCAGTCCGATGGTTCGACCCGAATCTGATGGTAACCGCCCCGTAAGTCTATTTTCGAAAAAACCCGTGCTGTTCGCAGTTGGTCGATCAGTTCGTCGGCGCGGGGAATGGGGTACCGTGACTTGACTGTTACCCTGTTGAGCGCTCGGTAATCGATGCACATGCGAAACCCTCCGTATTTCTTTGGCGTGAACAGTATTGGTGCGGCGAACGGTGACGAGCTCGGTCGGATGAATTTCTTCTCTAATAAGTAATCTAACTGCTTCCTCAGTTCGTCGAGCTCGGGCTGTGTCAGTCTGAACTGGCGCTGTACAGTTGGTTGCGCCCCCGGTTCTAATTCTATTCGGTGGTCATGTGCTCGCTGAGGTGGCAGTCCTTCCGGTAAGTCGTCGGGAAAAATCCCGGGGTATCGTTTCAACAGTTCCTGTAGTTCGGGCGGTACTGCTGCCAGCAGTTTCGTGAAATCGCTCGGTTGTTCTGCTCCTTCTACTACTGAAATGTCTATTGCGTACACGTCAGCTCCAGCAGCGACAGCCCGTTTCATGGTGACGGCGTTGACGTGTACCGTTGAAGACTCAGGCGACTGCCAGCGAGGTAGCTCAACCCAGTTACCGCTACTTCGCACAGTGCAGCAACCCGTCGCCCAGTCGATTCGCGGGTTATACCGTCGCAGCCAATCACGTCCCAGTAAGATGTCGTGTCCATCTAGTGTCGTCGCGAGCATTTCCTGTGTAAATCCGAAATTTCCCCCGCAGCGGACTTTGACTCTCTCCACCCTCTCCCGTATGGACAGTGGCGTGCCGTCAACTAAGCGTGCGTCTATCTCAGGTAAACAACGACTAAGTGTCAGTTGCAGTTTTCGTGCGGTTGCGGTATTAACTAAACTGTGACTTGCTCCTCCGTCGATAAAAATCTTCACTACTGCTCCCTGTATTCTCCCGTGGATCAGTACTGGGCAATCCGTCGCTGTACCCTCCTTATTCGTCCGAGCCCGATCGATAGCATGAATCGGTACCGTGACTCGGTGAGGGTCGGTGTGGTTGGGCGAGCAGGCAGTCTCGTCAGTAGTTGGCCCGATTCCTACTGACTGCTGGCGTTTCCCTGCCTTGGAGACTCCCTCCCCTGCTCTGCTCCGCGGCGCCTCAGCTCCTCTGGGCATTCACTCTTGCGATGACCCGGCCTATTGCAAGCAAAGCAGCGCCCCTTAAACGGTGCGGCAGCTGCATTCGTCGCAATAGCGTGTACGGTGGCGTGCTCGATCGGTCCCCGAGGACGATGTCCGTAGTAGGACCCCGGTCTCGGACGGCGCAAAATGTCGATTTTCTCGGCGAGCGCGAGAATCTCGTTGAAGTTCGAGAGCCCGCATAGCATGATCTCGTGCGAGATGTCCGGCTTCAGCCCTCCGACGTAACGGTCCACCAGCTTCGCTTCGTGCATGTAGCCGACTTGCTCGCATAGTGCGAGAAAACCACTCGTGTAGTCTTGAACCGACCCGAGCTGCCGCCAAGTACGCAGTTTCTGACGCGCTGAAATAGAAGCCGCGATCGGCTCGAAGCGCGCTCGAAGCCCTGCGCACCACGCATCCTACGTGCTGTATTGGGCTGTTTCGCAGAATGAACTCCAGGTGACGGCTGGACCCGTGGGCCCTTCCTCTTGCGACGGTGGCTCGTAGGCGCGTGGCGACGTCACGATGACTCGCCACCAGTCTATGGCGGGGCCCCTCAGCAGCGAAACACCGTAGCGAATCTTCGCTGCGTCCGACTCGACGTAATTCGCGTCGAAGAAAACGTTCATCGTGAAAACCCACGACTGAACCGTCGGACCTCCACGTTGGCTCGGATCGAAACAGGGCAGGCGCTGCGGCTTGAGTGGCATTGGTGCCATGATGTCGTGGTTGCCACTTGTGGCTGCAAACTCCACGTGACGACGAGCTTCGCGAGGCCTACGCGGGCTTGGCGCGGCCCGATTTCTCTCCATGCCAGGCATCGATTGAGCGGCGCCATCACTGGCTGCGCCTGAGCGTTGTCCCACGCTGTCGTTTTGCGTCGGTGTGCCTGATGAGATGACGATCGGTTCTTCTGATTGCGCAGGTGCATTTGCGGGTGCTTGTGATGGAGCTGGTGCATTCACCGTTGATTGCTGGCGGGCGGAGTCACGTTCCGCCGTGAGTGTCGCGATTTCGAGTGCCGAATCCCCGAGTTGACGCACGAGACGGTCGAGCTGCTCCTGCGTCAACGTCGCGAGCGTGAATTCGGCCATGGCAGGGGTGTCGGGCGAGCTCAGCGAGAGCCTCCTTCGCGGCCGTGCGTGCTTACGAGAGAGCACTACGAGCGGCGGTGCTGTGTCGCTGAGAGACGTCTACCCCCCCCAAAAAATTGAGATAGTGGGGAAGCGAAGGTGTGGGTGCGGTCCGAGAAGAGATCGTAGGCTCTGAATACCAAGTGTTACGAGTGCAATTGAGTGAGCGAGCGAGAATTGCACTATCGAAGCAAGAGTACAATGAGCGAAGGCATGAGCGAAGAATATATAGCGAAACTACAGTGGTAACGGTAATGGTCTGTGGTTGTCGCGCGACGGGCCTGGGACTGAGGTTGGGGAAAATGTCGAAGCGGAGGCCCGGAGCGCGGGTTACCCGCCGAGCCGTGAGGTCGGGGTGCGACGTGCGAAGGCGGCGGGAGGATTTGTCGATGCGAGGGTTGCGAGTGGTAACGGTGCTGACTGTGGTGCTACAGTGGTGTACGCGCTGAGCGGGGACGCGAAGTAAGGAAAAGGAATTTTCAACTGGTTCAATTGGAGTACGGACAACGACACCCACGAGGGATAGGGGCGTTCAGCATGAGGAGGACCTTGAACGAGTCGGTCTGCGATTCCTTGTCAGCTGCTGCGTCTTCAGATTGTGGAATTTCAGAGAAAAATTCGCACGCGAGACTATAGACGACTGCATTAGCGTCCAGGATCGCAGCGCTCGGGGTAAAAGTCCAAGGAAATTAATTTATAGTGCAAAACTTGCACGATTGAGTAGTCTTCCAGCGTTCGGGTACATTGTTTTCAAGCAATAATCTCCCCCGACGTTGCTGATTGTGTAACGCATTGCTGAAAGGCGATGTCTCGCATTCTCCTGCCAGTGAGTCACTTGAAGATACCGTTCACTCTTCCCCACTGAGTCCAAAGCTTCACCTTGTAGTTTTGGACGACGGCCGATCAGTCGTGAATTTGAAGGTCGTCCATTGCACACGCCATTGACCGACCGCGATTAGCCGTGCATGCGAATAGGATATTGTTAGCCGAGGGTATGACCAGAACTTCGTTCGTACCATCACGCTTGCAATGCAACAACAAACTCTGTTCCAATCTTCAAGTTCCGCGAAGCTCCGTTATCGCACCCAACCTTACCACCCTTACTTCGCCCTGGCACCGCACATGCACTTCCATGCCCTTCCTCTCACTGTCGTGCATGGCAGGAGCAATACCTTTTCCTCGCCGTGCTCGCCTTCTTCTTCCTCGTCTCCCTGCTGCAGGTTCGCCCCCATTCGCACTGCCACCCTTTGCACTCTCTCCCTCTCTTCTCCGGATGCTCTTCCCGCTTTGAGGATGGTGTTTTTTGCCTGAGTTGTTACTGCTGTTTTCCTCATTTCAAGGCTCTGCGTTTGCTCTCGACCATGATCTTTGCCATGAGCCATGACGTGCATCAGTGAATCGTGCCATGCATCAATGAGCCATGCCATGCATCAATGAGCCATGCCATGCGTCAATGAGCCATGCCATGCGTCAATGAGCCATGTTTTGCATCAATGAGTCATGGCATCGATCAATATACCATGCTGTGCATCAATGTACCAACCATGCATGCATGGATCATGACATGCGCATAACAAGTAATGCCATGCGTCCTCCCTCCTTGCATCTCCTTGCAACTCCTGCACAACCGTGTGTGCCTCTACACTCAACGATGCCCATCCCCATCCCCATGCCCATCCCCATGCCCATCCCCATGCCCATCCCCATCCCCATGCCCATCCCCATGCCCATCCCCATCCCCATGCCCGTGATCTGCTGTGCGTCTCCCTGCATGGCTGTGTACTTCTTCACACGCCCAGCTGCGGGTGACATGGGTGGAGAAGCTCAGTGGTGTGGACCTGCCACCCCCATCCCCATCCCCATGCTCATGGCTTCCGGTTGTCTGAGTGCATGTCCATGCCCTCCTGTGCGTCTGCGTGTGTGACTGCGTACCTCTTCACACCCCCAGCTGCGAGTGACATGGGTGGAGAAGCTCAGCGCCCTGGACCTGCCACCCGAGGGCTTTGCTGCCCTTGCAAAGACAGGAGTACGCGTCATGTGGTGCATGATGTGATGCATGATACATGATGTGATGCATGATACATGATGTGATGCATGATGCATGATAAGATGCATGGTGGCTGATGTGATGCATGGTACATGATGTGATGCATGAGACCCGCCACTTGCTGTCCATTACAACCACCACTTTCTCTAACACGACAGTACTATACCCTGCCTCTCTCTGTCCCTTTTTCTAGCATCTCGACTCTCCTCACCCTCCTCACTGCCGTCATCAACTGCTGCCTCCTTAGTCCTCCTTACCCTGTTTCATTTACCCCTTACCCTCTATCCTGGAATACCATTCTGCAGCAGCCAATCGGGACGAAGCTGAGTCAGCGTGCCATGCTGGCATACACCGCAGCTGACATCGCTGCTCTCCACCGTAAGCCCTCTCAGAAGCCCGCTCTTTCCCCTTGCGCAATTCGAGAGCGGTAGGACATACAAACTAGTGAAAACCCCGTTGCCTTCTTCTTTTACTTCATTAAACCCTGGGGAAGAACCCTCTCACTTCACCGTCCTTCTGCTTTCTCTCTGTCCCCGGTGCCCTCTCTTCCCCCATGATCTGCTTTTCCCCGTCCTCTCTCACCCCCTCTTCCTTACCCTATGCCCGCTGGCCCCCCAGGTGCAATGCAGGAGGATACAGAGCAGGTGAGGCAGCAGCTGGCTGCAGGCATGGAGGAAGTGGCGCGGGAGGTGGGACAGCTGCGCCAGGCGAGCAGCAAGGCGGAACATTCCACTCACCGTACAAGGCCTCTGTGCTCCCTCTTTGCTTCCCCCCCAGGTGCTATGCAAGAAGACGCAGAGCAGGTGCGGCAGCAGCTGGCTGCAGGCATGGAGGGGGTGGCACGGGAGGTGGGGCAGCTGCGCCAGGCGAGCAGCAAGGCGGCGGGGGACGCGGGGCAGGTGCTGAGGGAGGGGCAGGAGGGGCTGCAGCAGGTGCAGGCGGAGATCAAAGAGCTTAAAGCCCGCGTGCGGCGGCAAGGGGAGGAGCTTTCTCAGCAGATGACGGCCCTGGCTCGGCTGCAGGTGAGACGCATGGGGATGGAGGGAAAGTAGTATGTATTCTAATCAAGGGTAAGTCAGTATGGAAGTAGGAATGTTTTAGAGTCTATGAGTTGTGGCAGGCAGGCAAGCAGCAAGTTGTGGGGAAGGGGGGATGCAGCGCAGGTGCTGAGGGAGGGACAGGAGGGGCTGCAGCAGCTGCAGGCGGAGATCAAAGAGCTTAAAGCCCGCGTGCGCCAGCAAGGGGAGGAGCTTTCTCTGCAGATGGGGGTCAATCGGCTGCAGGTGAGCCCAACGTAGTGTTGGCTGGAGTGTGAGGTGAGGGGGGATTAAAATGCTCAATCCTCCCACTCTCCAGCAGCAGGCACGGCAGAACAATGCCAACACTCTCACTGCCGCTGTTAGTTTGTAAGTCAAGTCAAATATCAAATCATCCCTGCTGCGTCTTTCCACCCTCATCCGAATCCTTTCCTCTCTCCAGCAGCAGGCACTGCAGAACAACGCTCGGGCTGCCGCTGCCACCGCCGCCGCTGCTGCTGCCGCTGCCGCCGCCACTGCTGCTGCTGTTAATGAAGCGGGCGGTGGTAGCAGCAATAGAAGCAGTGGCAGTGGGGGGAGGGGGAGCGGGGTATACCACCGGCCGTGGCGGAGGAACGGGTTCAGACGGTGGAAGATCACAGACGACCGCCCGCAGTACTGGCGGCAGCGCGTGTTTGAGAAATATGGCCCCTACGGCTTCGTCAAGTTCAGGTGAGCCGGAAGTTGAGGTGAGCCCGAAGGTCAGGTGAGCACAGAGTTGTGGTGAGAGCCCAGCTTAGGCACGGCACTGCATGGCATGGCATGGCATGGCATGGCATGGCATGGCACGGCACTGCATGGCATGACATGGCTTCCTCTCCCCTCATTCCTCTCCCTTCCATCCCCTGCGTCCCCCAGTGCATACCGCATGAGTGCATGGCGAATAGCCATAGTGGGCACGGTACCGCCGGCGGCCATGAAGGGCAAGACGCGCCTCAGTGGGCTTCCACTGACTCTCTTGACCCTGTTCCCCTCTCCCCTCACTCCCCAAGTGCATACCGAGTGAGTGCACGGCGAATAGCCATAATAGGCATGGTGCCGGTTGCCATGGAGGGCAAGACGCGCCTCACTGACTGCACGTGGCATGGCTCCGATGGGTCGCGTGTCAGTGGAGATCTCACGATCAGCCTCGTGGGCAAGCACCACAACTACATCGTAAGCCTGCGCTTTGACTTTTGAGTCGACTCAAAAGTCACCAAGCACCACAACTACATCGTAAGCCTGCGCTTTACTCTAAGTAGCGAAAGGTAATATGAGTGTCAGCTGTCTTAAGCACGTGGCACGGCTCTGATGGCGCGTGTATCAATGGAGACCTCACAATGAGCCTCGTGGGAAAGCACCACAACTACATCGTAAGCCCATGCGTTGTTCTGTAAAGTGAGAGGTGATGTGTTTCTGAGTTGCCTTGAAGCATGTGGCACGGCTCTGATGGCATGGCTTGAGTGGCACGGCTCTGATGGCATGGCTTGAGTGGCACGGCTCTGATGGCATGGCTTGAGTGGCACGGCTTGAGTGGCATGGCTTGAGTGGCACGGCTCTGATGGCATGGCTTGAGTGGCACGGCTTGAGTGGCATGGCTTGAGTGGCACGGCTCTGATGGCATGGCTTGAGTGGCACGGCTTGAGTGGCATGGCTTGAGTGGCACGGCTCTGATGGCATGGCTTGAGTGGCACGGCTTGAGTGGCATGGCTTGAGTGGCACGGCTCTGATGGCATGGCTTGAGTGGCACGGCTTGAGTGGCATGGCTTGAGTGGCACGGCTCTGATGGCATGGCTTGAGTAGCACGGCTTGAGTGGCATGGCTTGAGTGGCACGGCTCTGATGGCATGGCTTGGGTAGCACGGCTTGAGTGGCATGGCTTGAGTGGCACGGCTTGAGTGGCATGGCTTGAGTGGCACGGCTCTGATGGCTCGCGTATCAATGGAGACCTCACAATGAGCCTCGTAAGCACCACAACTACATCGTGAAGGCACTAGGCTGGTGTGCAAACCACCATACTACATTGCGAAGGCATGGCTTGTATGTGAATGGTCCGGCTACATCAGAGCTTGCATTTCAAAAGTCACCCCCAGTAGATGCTGCCCTACTACAGGCTATACCATCCACAGCCTCATGAGGAAACACCCACATTGTGAAGCCACAGGGCTGCCTGCCTGGCTGGCTTGGGAGGTAGCTGTATTCTGATCAATCCAATGACAAGCTGATGAGGATGCATGTATATCATATCTATTATTCCCAGCACATTATGACAGGGATATTGATTCTGTTATTGATTATTTTAAGAATATACAGTTTGTAAATTTCTCCCCCCGTTTCTGCTGCCCACTCCATGCCTACTTGGCAGTATGACGTGGCAGTGCTGCTGTGTAAATTCGACAGTGCCACCGGGGCAGGAGGCCACCTGGAGGCGAGGATAGAGCAGGAGATACTGTACCCGTACAGAGAGGAGGAGAGTGAGGTGAGATATGTTGACTATCCTGCTGTTGTATGGCTAACACAGGTCCTAGATACCTCTACTCGTTGCCTTGGTGGCCACGGCCATATCCCACTCTCCACCCACACCAACTCTCACCACCAGCTTTTCATTCTCCACACCAACTCCCACTCTTCTCGCAAACTCACAAGCCGCCACCTTGTCTTTTACGCACACGTGCATCAAGAGCCCAACCCCCACAAAGACAAGGCGGGGGCTAGTGGGTACAACGAGCTCACACGAGTACACCCCCCACAAACTGCTCGCTGCTCTCCCCCTCAACCCCACTCACTGCTCTCCCAACACCCCCACCTACCAAGCACTGCCATCTCACCCTCCTCCCTGTCGACCAATCTCTGCTCTGATATGTAGGGAGAGGAGAGAGGGGGGGGGGGTTAGTGTGGGGCTTCCTCAGAAGACGTCAGTGTGGTTACGAGCCAATCCCTTTCTCCTTGAAGCCCTCCTTTGGCTTCCCCCACCCCACTTCCCCAGCCTTTCAATCCTCCTTCGACTTTTCAGGCACCTCAAAAGTTTTCTCCTTGACACCCTCCTTTTGCTCCCCCCACCCCACTTCCGCAGCCTTTGGTTCCTCCTTCGCCCCTGCCTCTCAACGTAGCAGCGTGCGTGTTGTGTCCCCCATTCACGGACCTATAGACGCCAGGAGGCTCGTAGAGTGGTCGCACTTCCACCAGGTCCTGCTCCCTGTGAATCGCTTCCTGCTCTACGATGCGGGGGGGGAGGGGAGGAGGTGGAAGTGGCATGGCGTGGGGCGACCTTAGAGAATGTCTGCAGTCCCTCTCTCCCTGAACGCCCACTTCCCTTCTCTCCCCATGATAAAGGCAACATTTTGAGACGTCTCAAAATGTTGCTTCAGAGAATGTCTGCAATCCCTCTCTCCCTGAACGCCCTCTTCCCTTCTCTCTCTCCCCACCCCTCTCCCCTCGCCCACAGCCTCTGGAGGCCCCCTCGCCCCTCCCACTAAAAATAGCAGCGTGTGTGTCCCCCATCCATGGAACCATCGACGCCACGCCAGGAGGCTTCTAGAGTGGCTGCACTTCCACCGTGTGCTGCTGCCCGTCGATCGCTTCCTTTTGAGAATTCTCAAAAACCAGAGTGGCTGCACTTCCACCGTGTGCTCCTGCTTGTCGATCGCTTCCTGCTCTACGATGCAGAAAGGGGGTGGTGGGCGCGCGTTTACTACATATCAAATGGCTCTTAACCCCCCCTCCCCCTCCTCCTCCTCTTCTCTCCCTCTCTCCTCCCCAACTTCCACAGCCTCTGGAGGCATCTTTGCCCCTCCCTCTCTCAACGTTGCAGCATGCGTCGCCCCCATTCACGACAGCATCGACGCCAGGAGGCTCTTAGAGTGGCTGCACTTCCACCGCGTGCTCCTCCCTGTAGACCACTTCCTGCTCTACGATGCAGGGGGGAACGCGGACAACGGGGAGGCGTGTGGCTCTCAACCAATTTCTCTCTCCCACGCTTCCCTTCGCTTCTCTGCCTCTCTCCCTCCCCGTCCCGCAGCCACTGGAAGCGCCATCCCCTCTCCCGCTGAACGTTGCAGCATGCGTCTCCCCCATTCACGGCACCATCGACGCCAGGAGGCTCTTAGAGTGGCTGCACTTCCACCGCGTCCTCCTCCCTGTGGACCGCTTCCTGCTCTACGATGCGGGGGGCATCGCGGGCAATGGGGAAGCAGGCCCGGGGCACAAGGAGGTGCAGCGGGTGCTGGCGCCAAGGGTCAAGAGGGGCATGGTGGACGTGACGTGGGGGTTCCGAGAGGTGCTGCAGTGGGACGTGTGGAACTATGGCGAGGTATGTTGAAAGGGACGGGGAGTGGGGGCTGATAAGTCGCGGCAACACTCTCTCTCCCTTCTAGGTCCATCCATAAGAATCCAACCTTCTCCTGCCCCTCGCCCCCACCCCTTCACTCCCCACAACGGCCAGCATCTTGCCATCCAGGACTGCATATACCGGACACGCAACGCCGCCCGCTGGCTGCTCGTGTCTGACATCGACGAGTACCTCCAAATCCCGCCGCCCCTCTCGCTGCCAGCGCTGCTACAGGAGCACGAGTCGCTCCCATGGCTGACCTTTGGCGCTACAGCCTTCAACGGCTCGTTCTGCTCGCCGCTACAGCTGCCACCGCAGGCAGCAGGGCGAGGGGAGGGGGAGGGGGAGGGTGGGGGAGGGGGCGAGGGGAATGGGGGCGGGGAGGAGGGGGAGGAGGAGAGGAAGCGGGCTGCTGCGATGGCTGCTAATGAGGCCAAAGCTGCTTTTGCTGTGGAAAGGATGCGGTTCAGGTGGGTGAAATGTGGTGCTGGTGAGTGAGGGTGCAGTTCACATTGGTGTGGAAGTGCTGCACAGAAATGCGCAGAGCAACAGACTGCTTTTGCACCACGAACAGCCCAACAAGTCCCTATTGCCCCTTCACCTTTCTCTCCTTCCCTTTGTATGCAACCCCCCTCTTCCTTCTTCCCCTCGCGTTTCCCGCAGGTGGCCCCACCCGGTGTGCTCTGCTACAGATGTCTACAGCGCCAGCCAATGCCTGGACGAGGAAGGCTCACGGCGCTACATCCTCGACCCGCGCCGGGCTATCACTGCCACAGCCAATAGCGTCGCGTCGTCCCGCCCGGGGATCAACCTACCCGTGGAGACCGCCAGGCTGGCACGCTTCCCTGGTATCAGCCAATCAGGGTTCGCCACATGTACACTGGGCGAGCCGAGCGACAGTTGGTGGGAGAAGGAGGAGGGGGTGGCTGCACTGGCAGAGGCGGCGAGGAGGTGTCCGGCTTTAAAGCCATGGACGAAAGGGGCATCTGCTGAGGTGAGAAGGTTTGTTGAGTCTGTTGCAATCAGGTGTGTGATGGTGATGGTTGCTGCTGTGTGCATGGTGGTGAGAGGGGGGAGACGGTGGCTGCACTAGGCAGCAAGGAAGTGTCCGGCTTTGAAGCCATGGTCGAACGGGGTAGTTGCTGAGGTGAGTGGGGTTGCTGGAGGGAGAGGGGTGTTGTTGTGGGTTGTTGGAGTGAGTGCGGTGGTGGGAGAGGGGAACGGGATTGGCTCGCTAGAAGAGTTTGCTCAGAGATGCCCAAATTAGATCACTGGGTGAAAGGAACCGACTGCTGGGGTGGGAAGAGCAGATAAAGTGAGTGGTCTAGTAGCTAATGCGTACTTGACTTTGCCTGCAAAATACATCATTGCGAATAACATTTGGTCTCGTCCATCTTCCTTCTTCCACCTCATGCCTCCACCTAAACCTTCAATATTCCATGCATGTGACCTCCCCCACCCCCACTAACTGACCTCCCTCCTTCACCCTTGCTTTCATGACCACTGCTTCCTTTCTTGTAGAAATGCTCGCCTGAAGGGATAGCCAAGAGGTTAAGTGGTGGCAACGGGTGAAGCTGGATAGTGCATGGAGTAGAACAAGGTACCCCGATTTTAGTTTCCCAGCCTCTTGATCGACAAGAGGAACAAATCATGTGTTATTGGTTTGTCGTTAATGACTTTCTAACAACGTCATTGTATATCCTGATTCATGTAAGGAACCATGTTGCTGACATGCACATACTCAAACCAGACAGTTAAGACTTACTACAATGTTCGTTACTGTAAATCGACTATTTGTCGCTATTTTTATATATCTTATACACTACATGAATGCAAAGACATCGACAGTCGTAACTGATTTGTCGCTAAATGTTTATGAAGGCATCACAAATGAAGTTCACTACTCCGGACTTACTGTGTTGGAATTGAGTTGTCAAGGGGCGGGAACAAAACCAGTTGAAACCCACTTTCCCGCTTGCTCGCCGCCAGAGTTGCCGCCAGCCAGTCACATACCGCATGTAGCCATTCCAAGAAGGCCTTCTAAGAGACTGTCTGTCGTCGTTCGTCGCTCGTCGCTCGTCAGCAGTCGTTGGATTTCGCTTTTCGCGCGTCGCTAGGCGATTGCAGCCATGAAAGCCATGGGCTTGATGGTCCTGGCGCTTTGGCTAGTCGCTTCCGTCTCTTCTTGCAAGGTTTGTCAGCCGCTAGTGGCTCTCATGTAGTCCGTATCGTGCCTCTTGCCGCGCTTCACGATAGATAAGGGCTTTTTTCTGGCTAGATTGCAAGGAATTCACGTCTCTGCTTGTAGCCGTTAATGTCGGTGCTTTGTGCGTGATTCATTGCTCCAGTTACCAGGTTGAGCAACCGTGGTAGCGTGTTATCTTTCTTGGTTTCACTAGCTAGCATTGTCACATACTGATTCTAGTATCGAGGGCTTTACAATGGCATTGACACGTTCCCTCATCCACGACATGTGTCAGCTGCTAACGTTTTCTTGGTGGATTCAATCATGTATCAGGCGGCTCCGTCAACGTCACCGTCACCATCACCGTCACCTCCATTCTGCTCCGCCGTGTCTTCTGACGTAATCTCGCCGTCGCCTGAAACTCGCTCGCACCTGCTTATAGCAGGAGGCACTGTCGTAAACGCGGACGGCGAAGTCGCTGCAGACGTTTATATAGAGGATGGAACCATCAAGCTCGTTCGACCTAACATCAAGGTGACGTGTCCTGCTCGGGGAATTCCGCTCCAAACGTGACTACACCAATCTTGAGTGCAAAGAATGCCTTTCATCCGTAACGATTCAGGTTACATGAAATCACTGTATTTAAAATCCTCAATAACAAATTCATGTCATTCCGTTTCGTTTCTATCCATTCGCTGCATGCTTTGCAATTCTGGTGTGATATGACTCGTCTTGCTACTAACGTGTTCTTGCCGTCTGTTATGTTTTGGCTCTGCTGACGTGGCTGGCAGGTTCCAGATTGGGTTCAGAAGATCGATGCTGTCGGGAAATACGTCATGCCAGGTGCCATTGAATGTTCGTGGGGTTGCACGGAATGTATTGGCTACATGCACGCACACTTACTCGCCGTTCGTTGTGACGTGTTAACGGGGCTGAGTTCATAGGGTCGAGTTTGTTATGACGAGTTCAGGGAGGCCAAATTCATGTGGCATTCTTACTTTGGCCAGGCAACAGTGCTGCCAGGCGACCGAGCCACCCTGCACATCCAAGATTTCACAACCCGTTCTTTGCTCTACCTCCCCTTCCTTCTCTCTCCCCAGGAAGCATCGACCCTCACACACACCCATCTGGCCATGCCCTTCATGTGAACAGAGTCCTGCGATGATTTCTACTCGGGCCAGGCAGCACCACCTTCCACATCGACTATGCTTTCTGCTCCCTCCCTGTTCCCCTCGCTCCCCATTTCCAACCCACACTTCCCCGCCCGCTCCCCTTCCTTCCCCTCCCCTCCCCTCCCCTCCCTCCTCCCCTCTCCCCTCTCCCCTCCCTCCCGTCCCTCTCTCTCTATCCCCAGGAGGCATCGACCCGCACACCCATCTGGCCATGCCCTTCATGGGGACAGAATCATGCGACGATTTCTATTCGGGCCAGGCAGCAGCACTGGCAGGAGGCACCACCTTCCACATTGACTATGTGCTGGGAGCCACGCCCGCTTCAGGGGGCGATCTGCTGCGGATCCTGGAGGAGTATGAGGGGAAGGCGAAGGGCAATGCCGTGATGGACTATGGGTTTCACATGGGTGTCACACGGTGGAGTGAGGAGGTGGCAAGGGACATGGAGGAGGTCGTGAAGCGAGGTGAGTTGCAGTGGGGTGAAGTGAGGTGAGGTGGGGCTATTTGGGGTGGGATGGGATGGTATGGTATGTGGAGGGAGAGGAGGGGAAGGGATGTGTGTTGTTGTGCTGGGCTCACACCTTCTTATCCATTGCTCCTCCTCCTCTCGTACCCATTCCAATGCTTGATCGGCATACCCACTTCAGGCATCGACTTGTTCAAGTTCTTCGTGGCATACAAAGGCGTTCTGCAGGTGGACGAGACTGGTGATGTCTCAAACCCTTCGTTGCTAGTGCTCCTGATTCCTCTCCAACTCCTGATGTACTCATTCAACTCATCCCCGGCCAGGCATCAACTCGTTCAAGTTCTTCATGGCGTACAAGGGCGCTCTGCAGGTGGACGACCAGCAGCTACTCGATGGCTTCACTCGCTGCAAGCACCTCGGCGCCATCCCCCAGGTGTGCGCTTGTGAGTGCGCGTGTGGGGGTTGGGGGGGGAGAGGGGGGGTTTGGGGGTGGGGGGGAGGAGGAGGGGGGAGGGTGGGGGGGGTGTGGTGAACGGGTGAATGGGTGTGGGTGTGGGGGAGGGGAGCAGCGTGCACGTGTTTGTAAGCGTGCGTGTGCGTGCGTGTGCATGTGCGTGTGTTGGTGTATACAGGTGCATGCAGTGGTATCACAGCTATACCTTCTCAACTCTACTCAACTCATTGCAACTCATCAGACTCACCAAATCTCAGCTTCAACTCCCCATTCCCACCTCTTGCCGTGTGTGCGCACAGGTGCATGCAGAGAACGGCGATGCAGTGGTGTGGGGGCAGCAGCACATATTCGACCTTGGGATCACCGGCCCCGAAGGCCACCCCTTGTCCCGCCCTCCTGAGGTGCGTGCGTTCACTTTCGTCCCAAGAGCTTTTGCCCCCTCTGCTGCTCCTGCTGGGCTGGGCTCAGGTTGGGCTCTGGTTGGGCTCAGGCTGGGCTCTGGTTGTTTCCTTCACTCAGATGTGACCAAAGCACCGTCACCAAAGCAGCCCCTGTCCTGCTCTTACCCGAAATCTCTCTGCCTGGCACCGTGGCACGGCATGCAGGTGGAGGAGGAGGCGACAGGCAGGGCCATCCCATTCGTCTCAAGCTCTAGTTTTTTGCCTGAGAAACTCCTGTTCCCCTCCGCCATCAAACCCCCCTATCCCAACCGTCACTAGAGCAACCCCTATGCTTCTCTGCCCATGTGCCGTGGCGTGCAAGTGGAGGAGGAGGCGACAGGCAGGGCCATCCCATTCGTCTCAAGCTCTAGTTTTTTGCCTGAGAAACTCCTGTTCCCCTCCGCCATCAAACACCCCTATCCCAACCGTCACTAGAGCAACCCCTATGCTTCTCTGCCCATGTGCCGTGGCGTGCAGGTGGAGGAGGAGGCGACAGGCAGGGCCATTCGGCTGGCGAATGTGGTGGGCGTGCCGCTGTACGTGGTGCATGTCATGAGCGCTGGGGCTGCCAGGGAGGTGGCCGAGGCCAGGCGAAGAGGTGAGGGGGGGTGTGGGGGTGGGGCATAGGGGTGGGGATGACTGCATGGCCTGGTGAGCCGTTTACTCTGAGCATTTACTCAGAGCATGGCATGAGGAAGGGGGGGCGCCAGAGAGGTGGCAGGGGCGAGGCGCAGAGGTGTTGCAGGAGTGAGGCGGAGGGGAGGGGTGGGGCGCTGAGTGTGTGGCCTGGTGAGCCCGTTTCATAGCACCCCTGACTGTGATTTTTGAGAATTCTCAAAAATCACTCGCTGAGTGTGTGGCCTGGTGAGCCCGTTTCATAGCACCCCTGACTGTGATTTTTGAGAATTCTCAAGAATCACTCGCTGAGTGTGTGGCCTGGTGAGCCCGTTTCATAGCACCCCTGACTGTGATTTTTTAGAATTCTCAAAAATCACTCGCTGAGTGTGTGGCCTGGTGAGCCCGTTTCATAGCACCCCTGACTGTGATTTTTGAGAATTCTCAAAAATCACTCGCTGAGTGTGTGGCCTGGTGAGCCCGTTTCATAGCACCCCTGACTGTGATTTTTGAGAATTCTCAAAAATCACTCGCTGAGTGTGTGGCCTGGTGAGCCCGTTTCATAGCACCCCTGACTGTGATTTTTGAGAATTCTCAAAAATCACTCGCTGAGTGTGTGGCCTGGTGAGCCCGTTTCATAGCACCCCTGACTGTGCGTGGTGTGGTGGATGTGTCATGAATGAGTGAGAGGGCAGTCAGGGAGGTGGCTGACGCCAGGCGCAGAGGTGAGGCAAAGAGATCTCCCTCACATCTTCAGCCCTCGCATCTACCCTCAAGCAGGTGCATGTGGAGAAATCTCAACTCATACCTGCATGCATCTATTACTTTGATGCGTTGCTCATATCAGGGCAGCGCGTGGTGGGGGAGCCAGTGGTGTCGGGCATTGCTCTCAACGATTCCCACCTCTGGTCGCCTGATTTCAAGCACGCCGCTCAGTGCGTCACCATGTCTCCATGTCTCAAGATTCAGGGCTCGATCTTGAGTTGCTGCGTGTCATTGCTCCAAGCATCCGCTCGTTGTGTTTGGTGCTATGCAGATACTTTTCCTGATGCATCGTTTGGCATTGCTTCTATTGTTCAAGGAGAGGTCAGAATGTTTCACGTTGTATTTTTCCATCTTACCTTCATGTATGCATTGCGTAGCAGGCGTGCTGTTTGTCGTCCTACTGACACTCTCGCCTCTCCCATGCCCCTCTGTCCCGCTCGGCAGGTTTGTGATGAGTCCACCCATCCGCTCAGCAGAGCACGTGGCAGCAGTCAAAGCAGCACTCGCCACTGGCACGCTGCAGGTATGCGCTTTATCAGAGAGATTCCATGTTATGAGACGCGCCTCAAATCAAAGTTTCTATCACGCGTCGCCACTGGTACATTGCATGTATACGGTTCATTTGAAAGATATCATGCTTCAAGAATGTGCACACCCTTGCATGTCATGTACACCCTTGCATTGCATTGCATTGCATTACATTGCAAGCAATGCAAGCATCCAACCAGGGTCATGCATTGTGTTGTCACGGTGCAACCCAACCAGGGCCTTTGTTGTTCTCAACCTCCTTATCCATCTTTCCTTACCCTCACCACCTCCACAAGCCCTCACTCTCAGCTCCCTCACTTCCCACTCCCTCGCTTCCCGCTCCCTCACTTCTCCCCCTTTCAGCTTGTCACCATGGATCACTGCCCACTCAACTCGTCTCAGAAGGCATCTACCACTACCCTCACTACCCTTACTTACCTCTCTCCACACTCACAGTGCTCACTCTGACCTCACTCCCTCCCCTTCCCTCAGCTGGTCGCCACGGACCACTGCCCCTTCAACTCGTCTCAGAAGGCATATTCTGCCTCTCTCCTCACTACCCTCACTACCCGCACTACCCTCAATATGCTTTCTGTGTGCTTGCTCTCCATCCCCCCCCCCCTCTCAGCTGGTGGCGACGGACCACTGCCCCTTCAACTCGACTCAGAAAGCCAAGGGGCGCCATGACTTCCGCCTCATTCCCAACGGGGTCAATGGTGAGGGGAGGGAATCAAATGATTCCGGTGGTCAGGGAAGTGGTTCTGACGTGACGTGGATGGTACCTATTCTTGAGTCGACTAAAAAATCCGCCTCATTCCCAACGGGGTCAACGGTGAGGAAGGGAATCGAATGATTCCGGTGGTCAGGGAATGGTTCCCTCATGCCGTGCACTCTTATGCCGTGGATGCTAGATGTGTCGTGACGGCGTGAATGGTTCGACGCGTGTTGATGTTGATGGGTTGATTGGGAACACTATGTGCACGTATGCAACAATTTACGAGCCACATGCCATGTAATAGGTGCTCATGGCAACTCCATTCTGTCTTGTCTTTCTGGCTGGCATGGGCTGAATAATGTTCTCGTATGCATGCATGTCTCGTGTGTTCTTTCCCTGTGTGCAGGCATAGAGGAGCGCATGCACATAACTTGGGATGTGATGGTGGTGAGTGGGCATGGGCGATGGTGGTGAGTGGGCATGGGTGATGGTGGTGAGTGGGCATGGGTGATGGTGGTGAGTGGGCATGGGTGATGGTGGTGAGTGGGCATGGGTGATGGTGGTGAGTGGGGCATGGGATGTGATAGCATAAAGAGGTGAAACTCCTATTTTTTGTTGTATTGATGCATGTTCCATGTCTGTCTACACACACACTCCCTCTCTCCCTTCCCTCTCTCTCCCTTCCCCCTCTCCCCCTTCCCCCTCTCTTTCTTTTTCTTGTCTCAACCCATGGTTGCAGAATTCGGGTCTCATGTCACCTAGTGATTATGTCCGCATCACAAGCACGGAGTGGTGAGTCAGCAGCACAGAATGGTAAATCAGAAGCACAAAATGGTGAGTCAGCACTATAGGTATTCCCCTTTCCCCACCTGCTCCGATCCCTCCCTACCCTTCTCCCGAACACTAAACTATCTTCCAGCCTTTCTAGATCATCAGCATGAGCACCATCGCCTGCCACTCCCCGCCTCTCCATCCCAAGCTAACCCCTTCCACCATGCCATTGATAACTGCGAGCCCTATTCCCACCATCCTATTTTTGAGGCGCCTCAAAAATAGAATCCTCTCCATCCCAAGCTGACCCCTTACACCATGCCATAGATAACTGCGAGCCCTGTCCCCACCATCCCTTCCCCTTTCCCTACCTCTCTTCCCTCCTCCTCTGTCCATGCTTCTCAGCGTGAGGACATTCAACCTGTACCCACAGAAGGCTGTGGTGGCTGGGGGCTCAGATGCGGACGATTGTTTAGGCTCCTTAAAGTTCCTTTTTCTCCTCCCCCCTCTCCTTCCCCCATTCGTGCTCCTCAGCGCAAGGATATTCAACCTGTACCCGCAGAAGGGCGTGGTGGCGGAGGGATCAGATGCTGATGTGATCGTGTTGAATCCGCGAGGCAGCACCACCATCAGTGCTACCTCTCACCACTCCCGCATTGACACCAATGTCTATGAGGGTTGGCGCATGCAGGTGAGATGAGTGGTGAGTGGGACACAGTTAACACACAGAAATGCAGGACATGATGGGACCATCAGCGCTGCCATTGACCCAACCATTTCTTCGCTTCTCCTGCCAACGATTATTCCCCTCTCCCGTCATTTTCCCCCCCTGTCATCCCTTATCCCCCCCCTGTCATCCCTTATCCCCCCCCTGTCATCCCTTATCCCCCCCCTGTCATCCCTTATCACCCCCCTGTCATCCCTAATCACCCCCCTGTCATCCCTTATCCCCCCGCTGTCATCCGTTCTTCCCATCCCGCAGGGCAATATTGAGGTGACGGTGAGCCAGGGCAGGGTGGTGTGGCGACACGGGCGGCTGAACGTCACACGTGGGGCGGGGCGGTTTGTCCCCATGCGGCCATTCGGCCCGCTGTTCCACGGCATGCAGGCGAGGGATGCCGCCCGCCGGCATTCATACCACGCCCCTGTGAGGCGAGATGAAGACGTGGGTGCTGCTGCTGACGTCTAGAGTCGGGGAGGGAGGGGAGTTCTGCTGACGTTTACAGTGAGGGAGAGATGGTGGGGGGGAGTTCTGCTGACACTACTGCCATTAGTTCTGTTGCTTTTTACCTCAATGGGCGAAGGGTGCCGGCCTTGATGCACACTTACCACGTCCCCGCAAGGAGAGATGGGGATGGGATGGGAGTGCCGTTGACGTTTAGAGTCGGGGAGAGATGGGAGGGAAGTGCTGGTGTTGGTGCTTAGTGTCAGGGAGACATGGGGATGGGAGTTCTGCTATCCTAGTGCTGTCTGTTACCGCAACAGGCGAGGGAGGGAGCAGGGAATGTCGGTGTGTCTGTCCTCATATTGCCTGACATTCCATTCCCTGCTCTGCTCTGCTGTGTCTTCAAGTTGGTACTGTAGGATTGGGCTCAGCAAGTTCAGCAATCTTGGCGGAGAGCAGGGAGTGTCAGTCTGTCTGTGTGTATGTGCTTCTTGATTTCCAAGTATTCTGAAGGTCAGTCTGTCTCTAGATCTCCAACTCAGCTGACACCAGACCGGACTTGCGTGGCAGGCAGACTACTGGAGTGCTCTCTTGTTGCGTGCTGTGCCATGGGTTACAGACAGTGGAGCTAAGGAGGGCTTGTACCGGTATGTTGTATCGTGCAAGTGCACAGGAGATATCTATGTCCCGTATGTACTTCAACTTCAGGAAACATAAGACATTGTACATGCAATGCAATGCATTGGTGTCTGCAAACTAGAAAGCAACACACACACGGGTCAACAGGCAAGTCAAAGGCACCTGTCCGCCCCTTCCCTCACCACTACATTGTTCAAGTGATTTGTTAGTCATTGCACGAGCCTAGCTCACACTTATTACAACACCCTAGTCGACCTAGGCAAAGCTCTAGAGAGCGCCCTCGTTCACACCTCCCCTCCCTGCTCCCGTCTGTTGAAATTGCCACCGCACAGCGTCTGGTCCAGACAGCCACCCATACTCACCTCGCCTCGTTACTCGCCTCGCCCCTCCTCTCCTCTCCTCTCCTCCCCTCCCCTCTCCGCTCCTCTCCTCGACTCTCACCATCCCTCACCTCCTAAACCCAGGCCCACTGCCCCAAGCCGGCTTCGCCCCACCCCCACACTACCCCAGGCAGGCCTCGCCCTGGCACCTGCACCCCTGTGCGTCTCCCCCACTCGCCCCACCACACCCGCAGCAGGACCACTGCCTCTGAGGCTCGTAGGCCACTTTTCCACCATCGCTGCCATCTGCTGCTCCCTGCTCTTCCTTCTTCCCTCCCCACTGTCCCTCACCTCTTTGCCCCAGGCCCACTGCCCCAAGCTGGCTTCGACCCACCCCCACTACCCCACGCAGGCCGTGCCCTGGCACCTGCACCCCTGTGCGTCTCCCCCACTCGCCCCACCACACCCGCAGCAGGACCACTGCCTCTGAGGCTCGTAGGCCACTTCTCCACCATCGCTGCCATCTGCTGCTCCCTGCTCCTCCCCCTCCTCTCGCCACCCCCACTGCCTGTACCACTAGCACTGCCAGCAACAGCAGCAGGCAGGGCGAAGCCACCGCTGCCGCAGCTGCCGCTGGTTCGGAGCAGCAGAGAGCTCTGGGTGCTGTCTGATGGGCTGCCTGTGCCGCCCATGCCGCCCGTGCCGCCCGATCCGCGCATGGAGTGGGTGTACGCCCTTGGACTGCCGCCCATGGCCATGGCAATGGCGGGCGAGGCGGGCGGCGCTGCTGCTGCCATGGCCGATGCCATGTACCGCGACTCCACGTGGCGTGATCCCATTGGTGGAGAGCGATGAGAGGACGAGGGGGAGAGGTTTCGCAGCGGGGTGCGAGGGGAGAGGGGGTGGGAGGAACGGGGAGAGCTGAGGGCAGGTGGTGTGTGGGGTGTGCGTGGTGTGTGTGGTGTGTGTGGTGCATGGGGTGTGTGTGGTGGGTGCAAATGGGTATGCATAGTATCCTTAGGGTCCAGAGCAGGGGGGAGGATGAGGAAGGACTCCGAAGGGGTGGCAGCAGAGGCTGAGAACCTCCCGACTCCTCCACACCGACCAATACCACCACCACCTCCGTTTCTCCCTATCCCCCCATACCTCCCGACCCCACCCCCCTGCTGCACTGCTCCCTCTGTTGACTTTGGTTGACTTGTCTCCATCTCCGTTGACTCAGGTTGACTCGTATCTCCATGTGTTGACTCGATTTGACTTGTCTCCTCATATAATGGATTGGGTTGACTCGTTTCTCTTTCCATTGACTGGAGTTGACTCGTCTCTCCGTATGTTGACTTAGGTTGACTCGTCTCTCCATTGCTTGACTCCAATTGACCCATCCCTTCCTCCATTGACTTCAGTTGACTCATCCATTGACCAGAAGACCCCTTGCTCCACCCACCCCACGATCGCTTCACCTCACCTGCACCTGCACCTCCCACAGATACACCTCCCCCAGATGTGCCAACCTCATGCATGCCTACCCCATATGCGACCCCACATATGGCCTCAGATACACCTGCCTCAGCAGGAGAGTCATGAATGGTCCTGGCTGGTCCAGGTCCTGCCCTGCTGTCAGCATGCCTGCTGCCGCCCTGCTGCTGCTGTTGCTTCTGCTGCTGCTGTGGCTGACGCTGGGGAGAGCGATTAGAGAGGGGAGGAGAGCGGGCAGCGAGGGGGGGAGAGCGAGCAGAGAGGGGAGGAGAGCGAGCAGAGAGTGGAGGAGAGCGAGCAGAGGGAGGAGGAGAGCGGGAGGCAGTAGGAGATCGGGGGCGAGTGGGAGGGGAATGAAGAGCGTGGGAGAGAGGTGTCCGTGTCCTGACAGGGGAGGAGTGCAGAGTGGTGGAGGAGGGCTTGGGGGAAGTGGAGCGGGGTGAGGAGGAGCCAAAGGGAGGTGATCGAGGGGCCTGCTTTGCTTCGCTGACTGCCCTTCCAGCTGCAGCAGCCAGGGCAGGAGCAGCAGCCGTAGCTGTTGGTGCAGGCGCAGCTGCCCTTCCACCTGCACCTGCCGTGGTTGATTTCGTAGCCGATCCCAGCCGAGTGGATGCCTGCTTTGGTAGCCAAGGCTGGATCCCTGGCCCACCTGCACAAGTAGCCACGGCTGTTGGTGCCTGTGGCGTGGCTGGTGCTCTTGCTGGCTGCGCTGCTGCATCTGCAGTCGGTATGACTGGCGTGACTCGTGCTGCTTGTGCGGCTGCCTGTGCATGTGTGTTCTCGCTCTGGTGTTGTGTTGCCGCTGCTCTTGGGGCACGAGAGGGGATCGAGAGAGCGGGGGGGCGAGTAGAGGTGGAAGAGAGAGGGGGAGAACGTGGCTTGCCAGCACCAATGCCAACACCACCACTCGCACCACCCACACCACTCGCACCACCCACACCACTCGCACCAACTGCTGTATGAGCTGTGGCAGGGAAAGCAGGAGTGGCTTCGGCAGCAGGGGCAGCAGTGGGTCTGGCAGGAAGGGAGGCGTCAGGGTAGGAGAGTACACTGCTGGCAGGAGTGGCGTCGAGGGAGAGAGGAGGGATGAACGCTGGGGAGGAGAGGGAGGCGAGGGTGTGGTGTGGTGACGAAAGAGGGGAGGATGCAAGAGGAGGAGGAGCAGCAGCAGCAGCAGCCTCATCCGCACTTGTATCAGCATTACTATCCGCGTCATCAGCATCATCAGGACCAGCATCAGCATGATTTTTCGCAGCAACAACAGCAGAGCATGAAAGAGGCTGGATTCTTTCCGCTTGCACTGATCTCCCTTCCCCTTCCTCCTCCGCTCTTTTCACACAATTAGCTCTTGACCCATCCCCTGCGGACCCAGCTTCCCGTGCTTCCCTCCCTTCCTCCTCTTCTGCCCTGCGCACTCCTCTTCCTCCAACTCCCCTCTCCCTGCTCTCAGCATCCGCCTCTCCCCCATCCCCACCATCCCCAGCAACCTCCCCTCCCATCCCTCCCTCCATCCCACCATCCATCCCTCCCTCCACCACCCCTTCGCTAGGCTCGGTCTCCGCAGCCGAGGCCGAGGTTCGGGCCGAGCCGGACCTCCGAACGTAAACAGAGAAGGTAGGATCAGTGCGGAGGGACTCAGAGGAGGGGATGCGGCCAAGGGAGAAGGAGGAGGACGCGCGGGCGAAGGGAGACGCAGGGGCGTTCGCTCCTGGCGAAACCGGCCCTGAATGCGGTCCTGAGACCGGCATTGAGATTGGCATTGAGATTGGCATTGGAACTGGTCCTGTCCCGAACAAGCCTTGGCCTGGTGTTGGCCCAGTGAGGCCTGGGATTGAGATCCGTGCAAGCGTTGCTGTACCTCCAAGAGGAGGAGGAGGTGCAGTGCCGCCCGCAAGGGAGGTGCCTCCTGCAAGAGGAGCAGCAGCAGCCGCAGATGCCTGAGGCTTCATTCCTGCTGAGAGGAGTGTTCCTCCTGCCCCTGTTCCTGCCGCAAGGCTCCTCGCCTCCAGAGGGTTGCCGTTGCTGCCACTGGTGCGAGCGGCAAGGCGAGCCGCGGCTGAAGCAGCAGCAGCGGAGGCAGAGGCGGAGAGGGGGATGGATGATTGGGGGGGGGAAGGCCGCGCAGGCACGGCAGGTGATCCTGTTGCTGCTGGTGCTGGCGCTGATGCCAGTTCTGCTCCTGCTGCAGTTGCACTGTCACCTGCACCCTCCCTCAGTTGAGCCTTCCCCTGTTGATCCTGTTGGTCTTCTTTCAGTTGAGCCTCCCCAGGTTGGCCCTCCCCCAGGTAGCTCTCCCTGAGCTGCCTCAGCTGTGCTGTGGCGCGCTTCAGCTTCGCCAGCACACTCCCCTCTCTCACCGCCACCCTTCTCCCTGCCGCCGCCACTGCTGTTGCTGCTGCTGCTGCTGCTGCTGATGCTGCTGCTGGTGTCGCTGCTGCGGCTGTGGCTTGACATAGTATGGGTTCATCTCTGTCCCCTTCAGTTTCCCGCGCTTCCCATTCTGTCTTTCGCTCTCCGTTTTGCTCCTTCTCCGCTGTTCTCTCACCCGCTTCCGCTCTTTCCTCCTTGCCCTCACCGCCCTTCGTTGTTACCTCCAGCTCTTTCTCTCGCTCCTCTGTGATCCTCCCATTTGGATCGACTTGCACTCTGCTTGCTTCAACACCATCCATTGCACCAGCACCAACACCAGTTGCACTACCACCAGAGCCACTTGAACCAACACCAGCGCCATGAGCGCTAGCAGCAGCAGCAGCATCATTGCCCCCCGCCTCTCTCTCTCCCCACTTTGCCTGATCGGCCAAGGTTCCGTGTCTCCTCCCACTGCCCTTGCCTCCACTGCCACTGTTCCCACCACTACCCTCTGGAAACTCCAAGCCTGCTTCCGAGCCTGAGAACGAGCCGTTGCCTCCGGTCCGGGAATTGCCGCTCCTGTTTTCTTCTGGTGCCGGCCCTGGGAGGTTCTCATGTGCCCATGCCTGTACCCGGTCAGCACGCTCCCAGCCATTCTCCTGCTCCTCCCAACCCTCCCTCCTTTCTCCTCCCCTCGTCTGAGTCATCTCCACATCTGCACTCTCTGCACCGCTCCCAACACTCCCCTCACCCTTCTCCACTCCGTCTACCCTCGTTTGCACCTCCTCCCACCTCCATTCCTCTCCATTCTCCCTCATCTCCTCTCCCTTCGCTCCATCGCCCTGCATACTCAAACCCTCTCCCTCCTCTCTCCTCCCATCATCACCACCATCGTCATCACAACTGCTGCCACCACTGCTATCATCCCCAGCAGCACCAGCTGCAAAAGCGCCTACGTCCTCCTCCCTCTGCCCCTCCTCTCCTCTCTCCCCTGCTCGCCTCCCTTCCCCTTCACTCTCACGCCCCAACTGGTTCCCGACAACACTCGAGGCTGCAGACGAACCTACCTCCCCCTCTCCCTCACACACCCCTCCTCTCTCCTCTTCCTCCTCACGCCTCCCTTCTCCCCCACTCTCAAACACCAACCGCCTGCCCACACCACCCCTACGCAACCCAAACGATTTGGGCAGTGCTGGGAGGGCATCAGCAGGGGAGAGAGAGAAGGTCGAGCGGGGGGAGGAGCCGGGGGTAGTGGCAGCGAGGGGCGAGTGCGGGGGGGAGGAAGCAAGGCTAGAGGCGTTTCCGCCTGCCTGCCCGCCTGCCCCTGCTGTGCCCCGCTCGCTTCCCCCTGCTGTGGGCTGCTGCCGCCAGTGGAACGCGGAGAGGGAGGGGGGCGGGGGCGTGGGGAAGGGGGAGAGGGACGGGGGTGCGGGCAGGGGGACGGCGGAGAGGGAAGCGGGCGGAGGTAAGGGGGAAGGGGAGCGAGGAGGGGAGGAGAGGGGGGAGAATGAGGGGTTGGCGGATGGGAGCGGGAGGGGGGAGCGAGGAGGGGAGGATGACGGGCGGTGGAAAGCGGTGTGAAGCGGTGATGCGGCCGGGGAAAGCAGCGGTGACGCCCCAGCAGAAACAACACCAAAAGCCCCATTTCCACCACCACCAGAAGCACCAGCAGCACCAACACCAGCAGTAACACCACCAGCAGCAGCAGCGGCACCACCAGCACCAGCAGCACCAGCACCAGCAGCAGTAGCAGCGGAGAGGGAGAGGGAGTGGCGGTGGCGGCGCATGAACTGGGAGCGCGCAACACGGAGCAGGGTGGCGGGCTGGGCGTGGCAGCGCTCGGCCAGCTCAAAGAGGCGCACTGCCACGTGCAGGCGCCCCTCCGCCTCCGCCATGTCCACCTGCCTCAGCCAGTGCCCCACCGTGTACAGCGCCTTCTCCCCCCCTGCTCCCCCTCCGCTTCCCGCTCCCCCACCCCCGCTGTGCCCCTGTGCGTGTGACCCAATTGCTCCTGTACCGACTCCTTCCTCTCCCGCTGCTCCCGCTGCTCCTCCTCCTCCTCCACCACCACCACTGCCGCCCCTGTCCCCTGCAACACCAGCAGCCCTACCCGGACTCATCCCGCCACCGGTAACACTCAAAGGGCTGCTTCCCATTCCCATCCCTCCGCCCAGCACCCCCCCGCCACTGCCCGTGCTGCTCATGCTCATGCCCCCCATGAGACCCAGACCTAGGCGGCTTGGGCTGCTGGCTGAGCTACAGCTGGTGCTACAGCCGCCGCCCATCTCCTCCACCTCTGCTGACACCGCTGCTGCAGCCGCCGCTACAGCCGCTGCTGACTCAGCGTCCAGGTCAGCAGAGAGCGCGTCGACGTGGGCAGAGAGGGACGGCGGGAGAGGCGGCTTGGCGAGTGCGGGAATGAGCTGGGCTGGCAAGCAAGGCTTGTGGTTTATCACATCTATTCCCACCTTCTCACCTTCAGCATCCTTGCACTCCTCCTCACCGCACCCCACCTCCTCACCTCCAGCCTCCTGAGCCTGCTCACCAACCCCCACCTCAGCCTCCTCACCCCTCTCCTCACCCTCCCCACCCATCTCAACCGCCTCATCCATCTCACCAGCCGTTCCCTTCACACTCTGTTCCCCTTCCACTACTTCCCTGTCATCCCCATCATATCCACCATACTCACCGCCTGCTCTCACCTCCTCCCTCTCCATCTCCCCTTCTCCCTCCCTCTCCGTCTCCCTTTCTCCCTCCCTCTCCGTCTCCCCTTCTCCCACCTCCTCCTCTTCTCTCTCCCTCTCTGCCTCCATCTCTCCCTCCTTGCCCTCTCTGTCCCCCTCCATCTCATGGTACGGAGTAACATCCCTTTCCACCTCACCTTCTCGCTCCCTCTCCACCTCCCCACCCTCCCTGCCCTCCCTGCCCATATCCCTGCCCTCCCTGCCTCCCTCCATCTCATGGTACGGCGTCACATCCCTCTCCATCTCCATTCCAAATCCCCCCTCCCCCTCCTCACTCCCCCCTTCCTCCTCCCTCTCACCTCCACTCCCCTCTCTCTCCACCTCAACCCCATCCCCCTCGGCCCCATCCCCCAACTCGTCTCCACCCTCTTCCCCCACCCCCATTTCCCTCTCCACCTCTCCCCTCATCACACCCACCTCCCCTTCCCCCTCCCGTTCTCCCGTCCCAACCACAGCCCTCCTTTCCGCCTCCCCACCCTCCTGCCCCTGCGAGCCTCTCCTCGCCCTCCGTGTACCTCTCTCCACCAGAGCTTCTAACTCTCTCCTCAATGCCTCCACCTCATCTGGTAACAGCCCTTGCTCTAGTGCCAGCTCAAGCTGACGTAGACTCGCCTCCACTGCCACCTCATCCAGCTCACCGTCCACGTCATCCGGACCCACTGCCACGTCAGCATGGCTGGAACTTCTGCCGTCGCTGCCCGCGTGGAAGGAGAACTGAGCCCCGTTTACAGTCACACTCGCACTGTCACCGAATTCGCCTGGAGTAGCATCACCATCAGCACCAGCAGCAGCACTAGCAGCAGCACTAGCCACACCAGCAGAACCAGCAGAGCCAGCAGAACCGTCACCAGTTGCAGCCTCCCCCTGGCTCCCCTCCACATCAAATACACCTCGGATGGAATATATTTCCCCCGGCTGTAGCACAGGTAGACCGACTGCATCCTTTCCTCCTCCCGCTACAGCCGTTCCTTCCCCCTCCACCGTTTCCTCCTCCTCCCCACCACCACCCAGAGCGAATCCCTCAAGAGAAAAAGGAAACCCAAACACTGATAACGCCTCTGCTGCTGCTGCGTTCGCATCCTCCTCGCTATACTCCCACATCTCATGATCCCCACCTTTCCCCCCCATAATTCCACCCCTTCCCCCTCCCCCTCCCCCCCATCCCCCCTCCCCCACCTTCCCCATACTCCCCCAATCGTTCCAGCGCCTGTGCCACCGCCCCCGCCTCCATCCCCTCGCCAGCTGTCGCGTCGTGGTTGGCCAAAGAAGCATGCATGGAAGAGACGCCTGAGCTGCGCATGCGGTAGAGCATGGAGGCTCGGCCCAAGGCTCCGGGTCGGGAGGCGTAGGCGACCAGGATGGGGAGCACCGAAGCTACGCTGGGCTGCTGCGGTCTGACTGTAGCGAAGTCAGGTGGAGGAATGGCAACGTCTGTGCTTGTATGCGCCTCTGCAGATGCAGCAGGCGCATTCTGGGAGGAGTCAAGATTCTCCCCTGTAGATGGCACCGGGGTGCGACCTTTAGTTGGCTCTACGGGGGCTTGCTTGTGTGGTGAGTCTTGAAAATCCTCTAACGTGGTGAGCGTTTTCTCTGAAGCAGGGGTGTCAGCAGCTGTTGTTTTCAATGGTGGCTGTACGGTGTTGGGAGCTGCAGCGAAGGCAACGGTAGCAACTGGTTCCGTTCCCTCACCGCCAGCACCTGAAGCAACAGCTGGGTCAGTATCAGCAGCAGGAGGAGGCGGGTGGGTGGCAGCAGGAGCAGCAGCAGCGGCATAGGCAAAGGGAGGCCGGACGGTGCGGCTTAGTACGGAGCGAGGGACAGGCAGCAGCGCATCCGCAGCAGCAGAGGCGCTAGCGGCAGAGGCAGCAGCAGCGGCGGCAGCAGCGGAGGAGAGGGCGGCAGTGGTGAGGGCGGAGTGGTTTCTGCGCCACAACCCGTGTGTGAGAGGGCGCGGGGGCGCAGGGGCGTAGGGCGCAGCAGCAGCAGCAGAAGCAGCAGCAGAAGCAGCAGCAGCAGGGGGAAGCAGGTGGGGGTGGTGGGCGCGGAGGAGAGAGGCGAGTGGTAGAGGGTCCTCCTCGCAGTCACAGTCGTCAATCTGGTTGGAGGCGGTGGGGAGTGGTGGTGTGGGTTGCTGAATAGCAGGAGGCGGGAGGAACACCGGTGGCATCATCGAGGACAGGTCAGAAAATGCAGCAGTGCTGCTTGGAGAGGGAGAGGAGGCTTGAAACGGAGAGGCTTGTAACGGGGATGCAGCAGCACTGGCGGCAGAGGCCGTGTTCGATGCAGTGCCGTCCCCTGCTGCCCCTCCGGAGGCCATAAGAGCCGCAGCAGCAGCCATGCCCCCATCCCATTCCGCTGACATGCCCATCGTCACCATATCGTCCTCCCCACTCGCCCCATACTGTCCCCTCGTTCCATACTCCCCCGTTCCACCATACTCCCCCGTTCCACCATACTCCCCCGTTCCACCATACTCCCCCGTTCCACCATACTCTCCCCGCCCTGCGCCATACGCGTACCCACGCCCTGTTTCCTCACCCTCGTCCCTCACACCCTCCTCTCTGGGCTCCCCCTTTCCCCTTCCCCTCTCGCTCTCACCTTCCCCCTCCCCCTCCGCCTCTCCCTGCTCTCGCTTCCGCTTCCCTGACACCACCCGCGTAGCACTTCCCTCCTCCTCCTCCTGCTCCTCCTCCTGCTGCTCCTCCTGCTCCTCCCCCTCCTGCTCCTGCTGCTCCTGCTCCTGCTGCTCCTGCTCCTGCCACCGCGCCATGCCATGCCCAGACCGCGCCAGATCCTGCCCACACTCCGCCATGCCATCTCCGCCGTCTTCCCCATCATCACCATCATCCCCATCATCTTCATACCCACCCCCACCCTTGTCATTTTCTCCCCACTCTCCATGTGCCCTTCCCTGCTCGTCCCCATAGGCCCCCCTCTCTGCCCACCCTTCCATCTTTCCTCCTCTTTCCCTACCCCCCTCTTCCCCCTCATCCCCAGTCCCATACCCTTCCGCGGCCCCTGACCATTCCCCTCGGCCCCCAACCTCCGCAGCCCCCCAGTCATTCTCCCCCTGCCCTTCGTTGACCTGTCTCCTTCGCCCCTCCGCCTCCTCCCCCGCCATATCCTGATCTCCCCCTATGGCGGAACCCTCCAAGCCCCCTTGGTCCTCCCGCGTGCCCCCTGCCGCCCCCTTCCCCCGCTCGTTTCCGCCATGCGCTCCCCCCTCCCCGCGCCTTGACCTTCGCGCGCTCCACTGTGCACGCAGACTCCGCCTCGACTCCGCCTTGCCTTCTTCCGCCTGTCCCGCGCCATCCTCCCCGTCCCCATCCCTCCCTCCCGCCAATCCCCATCGCGCTCGGTGCTTCCGCGAGCTTCCGCCAAGCCCTCCCCCGCGCTTCCGCGTACTTTCCCGCGCGTCCCCGTCATCCGCGCCCGCTGTCTCCGCGGCCGCCATCCCGTGGGCCGCCTCTGCGCCCACCGCAACCGCCACCGCAGCTCCAGCCGCAACTGACGGCGCAACACCATCCCCAGCAGCATCTGAATCATAGTAGTCAAAATTCTCGTCGCCTCTCTCCCCCGTATTTCCCGCTTCCCCTCCAGCTGGAGCCGCTTCGCGTTCCGGCGCCCCCGTTGCTACGTCAGCGCCAGCTGCCACGTCAGCGTCAGTGCCCCGATTTCCCGCCGCGCCACTACCAGGTGCATCCCCGCCCGCACCAGCCTCGTTCGCGCTAGTAACTGCCGCGGTATTGGCACCATACCCACCACCACCATCACCACCGGCAACATCACCAGCAGCAGCAGCAGCATTCACGCCGCCACCAGCACCAGCAGCGGCAGCAGCACTGGCGCGCGCAGCAAGAAAGTCCGCAAAGGAAACGTCAACTCCGCCGCCCCGGAAATACTCGTGCGTGACTTTACTCGCCGGTGACGCCGCACTCCCCGCGCTCTGACGTCGCCTATTCCTATACTCCGTGATATCCGGAACCTTGTAGTACCTCCCCTCGTCCTCGCTACTGCTCTCCTCGCCTCCGTTATTATGAGCCTCGCGGCCGCGCCGGGGCGAGCGCGAGAGTGCTTCTAACGAGGGTAAATGGTCCACCGCGGCGGACGGCGCGGAGGGCGTCGCGCCGCGCCCGCCCCACGGGCTCGCGTCCGAGACCTGCGGACTCCACGCCGCTTCTTGCGGACTCGCCCGCGGCGCCGCTGATTCTCCCTGTCCCTGCTGAGTCTGCCGGTCCTGGCCGAAACCTCCGGAGATTACGGAGATCTCGCCCGAATCGGCCACAGCTGCCCCTCCCACGCCGCCATTCGCGCCGCAAAGAACGCTGCTGCTGCTGCTGCTGCGCGCGTGCTGCCGCGCGCGCCTGTCTCTCGCGCCCGCGACGATACTCTCAAAAGGCAACCCCCCCGCCTCCGCCTGCTCCTGCTCCCGCCGCTGCTGGCGCTCGTCCCACTCGCGCTCCTGCTGCGCCTGGAAGCGGCGGGAGGGCGTGGCGGACGGGGTGACGGGGCCAGATAGCATGTCGATTAACCCGCCAGCGCTGGCGCGCAGAGGGGAGATCGACCGGCGCAAGGGGGAGCGGGAGGGGAGCGGGGAAACGGAACCCGCGCGGCTGCCTCTTGCGGACGAGCTTCCCGCGCCCGCCCCATCCCACACCCCGCTCCCGCGCAAACTTCCGCGCATGCTTCCGCGCACGCTCCCGCCCCCGCCGATCGCTCGTTCCTCGTCGGCTTCCGCGCCCATCCGCGGGCCTCTGTACGGGGATAGCGATCTCCCGCGCTCGATGGGTCTCCGCGGCTTTGGGGAAGTCTCGAACATGCGCAGCTGAAGCGGAGAACGGGACCCTGACCTGCCCCGAGCCTCGGCGTCAGGCTCGGCAACGGGAGTCCGGACGTACAGGCCTGCGAGCAGCCCGGAAATCCCCCCCGACGCGCTTGTCCGGGGGGAGTTGGCGGAGCCCGGGAGCGGGGAGGCTGTAGGCTCGTCTGACACGTGTCGCTCTAAAGGGTCCCGCTTCAGCTGCTGTGGTGTGTGACAGTAAATGGGTGACTGTAACGAGGATGGCTCTATCGGGCCGCTGTGGTGGCGGGGTAGCATCGGAGGCGACTGAAATGAGTCCCGTGGGGACGGCGCGAGGGGAGTGCGCGGAGTGCGCGGAGTGGCGGGCTGCGCGGGTGCGTGGATCGGGATAGCGCTGCGAGTGGTCTTCACATGAAGACCCCTGCACGCATGAAGGAGGTCGCGTGGGGGCAGGGAGGGGGACGGTGGGCGGAAGGGGTGGGAAGGGGGAGGTGTGGGAATGTTGAAACGTAGGGACGTCGGCACGTCAAGACGTGGGGACGGGGGACGGGGTAGCGATTGCAAGAATTACAAAAAAAGACACTGCAATTGGCACGAATGGAATCATGTGCTTTGATCGCTCCTCCCGTTTCCCCATTTGCCGTAGTTCGTCGCCACTCACCGTTGCTGCTTCTCCATGCTCGCGAGGATATCCAAGTCGTCGCGCGCATCGCGCGGCACCGCCTGCAGCGGCCAGCCCAGGGACCCGTTGTCCGCCCAACCGGACGCCGCCAGCTCCGCTGCCGTCATCATCGCGGCCTAATCACGTTATTCGCACGCTGCGTTGCTAAGCGCCGAGAGATGCCCTCCGTTATTGGTTACGAATGCCCTGTTACCGTTACGCGCCTCTTTCCGCAAATGCGCCGCGAAAGCATTGCTCAATAGCGGCGCCGAGTGCAACACTCTGTTTCACCTTCTTGGCGTCGCCAATCTAGGCGGACGACTTCGAACGATCGCCAGCGCACCGAGAAGACTAACGCCGATGCTTCTACGTCTACTACACTGCTCCTCCTACCTTTGGCAGTTGGCGCGTGGCTTGCCTAGATGGAAGGGGGGTCTGTGTGTGTCAAACAAACGCAGCGCCCATGAGTGAAGTATTTCGCGTGGTGGCATTTGTGGTGGTGGCGGAAAGGACGTGATGACAACAAGGAATCGCAAAGGTGGCGCGAACAGAAGTGGTGGGTGGGGAGGGAATTTGAGCGCAACGCAAGAGGAGAATTGAATGAGGGGATTTTGGCGGAGGCGCCAAAAAGTGGGAAGCCAACAGCTGCTTCTGGTGGTCAAGCATGTCCAGCTGCAGCAAGGGGAACGACGAGGGAAGGCTGTCCCGCGCACGGAAAACGCGAGGCAGGTCATCCGCACCTGCCGAAATGGCGTGTGCGTTCGCTATCGTTACAGTGTCAAGCACGCTTAACCGTCGGATGCTAAGAATCCGATGGTGGTCTGCAGTGTTTCCAAATGACCCGTCACGACACCTTCGCGAAACTGCTTTCCAGCCCTTGCCAATCAGCCCCCCGCGGTAGGGATCGCGCCGCAAACTGCAAGGCCAGCCGAGTCGCTCCTGCTGTGCGAGGCGAAATTAGGTGTTCGCAGCCGCTTGTGGTAACTACAAACTTTCATACCGTGACCTGAGTACACCAATGGTTGCTGGCATGTTATGAGTTGTTGTTACGGGTGCAATGAATCTAAGTAGCGAGAATTGCACTAAGGTGTCAAACGAGTACAAAATGTGAGCGAAGGCATGAGCGAACATTTATACGCGAAACATGCAAACGGTAACGCGGTGCGTGCGAGCTAGCTAGTGCTACGCTGGAAGCGAGGCTTGGGCTAGTCCCGAAGCGTAGGCCGACACGGCCGGTCCAGCAGTGTGAGGTTTGGTGAAACAGTGCTCGCGAAGTCGGCGAAGCCCCGTTAGCAGTAACGGGCGAACAACGGCTGCTGCTGTACGCGGTGTTGCAGGGTGCGCTAAGGAATGTCGAGAAAAATCCTTACACTACCCCCCCCCCCCTCAAGAAGCCCCCTCCGCTACGCGAGTGCGTGTATATCGCGGAAACCCCGGCTCCTCAGGTACACTTGCAGGGCAGGGTGGTTTTCGATGTTGGCCAGGGGCACCCAGCTATCCTCAGTTCGCGTCCGGTCCTTCCAGCGAACGAGAAATTCAATCCTCCTGATTCCCGTGGGGTGTCGAATCCGATGGCTCAGTATTTTTTCGGGCTCGATGATCGGCTCCGATGCAGGGCGAGTCATGGATGGCGGACGAGGCAGTTGGCTTGTGGTTGGGATGTATGGGCGAAGCAGGCTGACGTGGAATGAAGGGCTGATGTACCAGTCCGTCGACAACAGTAGGTGGGCTGTCACCGGGGTAATCATGTGGCTGATTTGGAATGGTCCGCAGTAGCGGGGTCGTAATTTCAGTACGACGAGCAGTCTTAAGTTCTGTGTGTCGAGCAGTACGTAGTCTCCTGACTTGTACGTGACTGGGCGGCGGTGGCGGTCAGCATTGCGCTTAGCGATGACATTGGCTTTTTTTATTGCTTCGGCGGCTCTGGTACGGGCAGCTTGCAGAATTTCGGCGAATTGTTGTGCACGTGGCGTTGGGTTGTCCGGACTCGGCGTCATGGGCACTGTAGGGTTTTGCCCGTAGTTCAGGTAGAAGGGGGACTGCTGCGTCGTCGCTGACGTGGCGTTGTTGTACGCGAACTCGATCAGCGGCAGCTGCTGCTCCCAAGTGGTTGGGTTGTCGCACGTGGCACAAATCAACTGCTCCATCGTCTGATTCGTTCGCTCCGTTTGACCGTCGGTCTCGGGGTGGTACAACGAGCTGAGCTGTAGCCTTGTCCCGAACTGCTCCCAGAGGTTATTCCAGAAATTGCTGGTGAACTTCGTGTCGCGGTCGCTGATTATCGCGGCTGGTATCCCATGCAGTCGAACGACGGCTGCGATGAACAGACGAGCGGTTTCTTCGGCTGAGATCGATTTCTTACACGTAGCGAAGTGTGCCATCTTCGTCAACCTGTCAACGACGACCATAACCGCGTCGTTACCCCCAGGGTTTGAAGGTAACCCCGTGACGAAATCCATGGTAACCTGCTGCCAGGCGCGCTCAGGCGGTGGAATCGGCTGCAACTAACCCCCCTTTCTTTTTCGCGAGCTCTTCATCACCTGACACGTAGGACACGAGCCCACGTGGTGCTGTACGTCGGTCAACAGCTCCGGCCAGTAGGAATACCGCTGCAGTTGCTGTCGCGTTTTTTCTACCCTGAAATGTCCCGAGGTAATCCCGTCGTGTGCCTCCTGCAGTAACAGTTCCCTCAGTAGTGGGTACGCGGGTACCCAGATTCGGTTGGGCACGAAGGTACTATAGGGATCAGTGGTCTATCCGTACTGTCACGTCTGCTCCCGTGAGGTAACATCGCCACACTTTGAACGCGTGCACGATCGCCAACATCTCGCGGTCGTGTATCGGGTAGTTGCATTCGAGCGGGTGAAGTTTGCGGGACTCGTACGCGATTGGCTGGAGGCCGTTCCCGAAGTCATGCAACAGTACTGCTCCCACAGCGATGTCGCTAGCGTCGGTGACGAGCTCGAACGGACGGTGCGGATCTGCGATGTGAACTACGGGCGGCGAGCACAAAATATTTTTGAGGGCCGAGAAGGCAGCTTGCTCTTTCTCCCCCCACGTGTACTCAACCCCCTTCCTCAGCAGGTCGGTCAACGGGGCAGTCAGCTTCGCCATGTCGGGGACGAACCGGCGCACGTAGTTAACGAACCCCAGAAAACTCTGCAACTCGGTCAAGTTGGTCGGCGCATGCCATTCTTGAATCGTCACGATTTTTTTCGGGTCTATTTCCACTCCTGCAGCTGAAATAATGTGTCCCAAAAACTCCAGTCGGTCCTGTAGAAACTCACACTTAGACGCTTTTGTCAGTAGGCAGTTCTCACTCAGAATCTTAAAAACTGCTTCGATGTCCTGTAAGTGCTGTTCTTTGTCGGGGCTGTAAAATCAGTATGTCGTCCAGATACACGATGACGCACTTATCTAAAAGCGGGCGGAAGGTTTCGTTCATGGTCATTTGAAAGGTGGCGGGGGCGTTGGTCAGTCCGAAGGGCATGACGGTGTATTCGAAGGATCCGTAGCGTGTTCGGAAGGCTGTCTTAGGGCAGTCGGGTGGGTTGACGCGAATCTGGTGGTAACCTCCCCGGAGGTCGATTTTCGAGAAAACCCGGGCTGTGCGCAGTTGGTCGATCAGTTTGTCGGCTCGCGGAATGGGGTAACGGGATTTTATGGTAACCCTGTTTAGTGCCCTGTTGTCTATGCACATGCGAAAACCCCCTCCTTCTTCGGCGTGAACAGTATCGGTGCTGCGAAGGGCGACGAACTAGGGCGGATGAACTCCTTCTCGAGCAAGTAATCCAGTTGCTTCCTCAGTTCGTCCAGTTCGGGTTGGGTCAGTCGGAACTGTCGCTGTATTGTTGGCTGTGCCCCCGGTTCTAGTTATATCCTTTGGTCGTGCGATCGCTGAGGTGGCAGTCCCGTCGGTAGGTCGTCTAGGAAAATGTCACTGTACTGCTTCAATAGTGCTGCCAGATCACCCGGTACATCGGCTAGCAGTTTCTGTAAATCCCCTCCTTTATCTGCTGCCTCGGCTTCCCGAATGTCAACCGCATACACGTCAGCTCCTGCCGCTACGGCGCGTTTCATTGTGATCGCGTTGACACGCACCGACAAAGACTCAGGTGAGCCCCAGCGAGGTAGGGCGATGTTGTTACCGTTCACTCGCACAGTGCAGTCACCCGTCGTCCCGTCGATTCACGGATTGTGTCGTCGCAGCCAATCACGCCCGAGTAAAATGTCGGTTCCGTCGAGGGTCGTTGCGAGCATTTCCTGGCTAAACGTGAAGTTACCCCCGCATCGAATCCGAACTCGGTCCAACGTTCCCGTATCGCCAGTGGCATGCCGTCGACCAGTCTTGCGTCGATCTCAGGTAAGCATCTGTCCAGTGGCAGTCGCAGTTTTCGTGCTGTGGCAGTATTGATAAGGTTGTGGCTGGCCCCTCCGTCTACGAAGATTTTAACTAAGTCCGTCCCGATTTTCCCACTAAGCAGTATGGGGCTGTCTACTGTAGTACCCTCCTGATTCGGCCGGGTGTGGTCGATTGCGTGAACCGGCACAATCACTCGGTGAGGGTCGGTTGGGTCGGGCGAGCGGCGTGACCTGTCAGTAGAGGGCCCGTCTGCTACTGACTCCCAGCGTTTCCCTGCTGCTTGGTCTGTTTCTGCTGCTCAGCTTCCCCCTTTCCCTTCGCGTTTTCCGGGCATTCGCTCTTACGGTGTCCCGGCCGATTGCACGCAAAGCAACGCCCTTTGAATGGTGCGGCAGTGGCATTTGCGGCGACGGCACGTATCGTAGCGCCCTCGTTCGTCCCACGAGGCCGTTGTCCCCAATTGCTGCTTCCGTAGGACCCCGGTCTCGGTCGGCGGAAGAAGTCAAGTTTCTCCGCCATAGCGAGAATTTCTTGAAAATCGGTGACGCCGCGAAGCTGGATTTCCTGAGCGATGTCCTGCTTCAGGCCGCCGATGTAGCGGTCAATGCGCTCGCTCTCATGCATGTATCCCACCTGCTCGCATAGCGCCAGAAATCCGCTCGTGTAGTCCTGGACAGAATCGAGTTGGCGCTAAGTGCGGAGCTTCTGTCGCGCCGCGATCGAAGCCGCAATTGGCTCAAAACGAGCGCGCAGACCTGCGCACCACGC